TTTTTTTTTTTTTTTTTTTTTTTTTTTTTCTCTCTCTCTCTCTCTTTAAAATGTGCCCCGATGGACCCCGGATCAGATATTAAACTGATGATACGAACAGATACATCTCACTCAGATATTAAACCGATGATACGAACAGATACATCTCACTTGAAGTTACTTAGCGAAAAGACAGAGAAAGGTATGCAGAGTCGTTTGCAGACTGATGGGTGAGGCAGAGACTACGTATATAGGCCAGGAAGGCATAAATTATGAGAGGAAGATAATCAAGCATGAGAAGGACTTAAAACGAAACCAAGACAAAGAGAAAGACAAAGGTACACATAGAGAACCATGGAATGAGAGGTAGATGATCAAGCATGAGAAAGATGACTTAAGACGAAAGCAAGTCAACGAAAAAGATAAAAAGGTACACATAGAGAGCCATGGACACGAGTACCCGAGAAAATTAGGCACTTCAAAATATAACATGAAAACAGTGCCGTGCTAGCGGTGTCCCATTTTCAACGCCAAAAGACCGAGAAACGTATGCAGTTCCATTTTCAACGCCAGAAGAAGAAAGGAGCTTCTGCTACCAATGAACATTTCCTCTACAACAACCTGGGCTTAAAAACAAACAAAGAAACAAACAAACAAACAAAAAAAAAAAGACCAAGCTCTGTTGTTTCTGCCCTCTTGCTGCAACGGTGCTGGGATTTGGCTGAATGTAATGTCACGATCGGTATGGCTTTACTTTTGAACACCGGGTCACCGTTGCAGTGGTGAAGGCATCTGGCTGTTACAGCCGAAGTCACCGGTGCGATTCCGTCTGGCTGCAGAAGTCCGTTTGGCTGCGGATCGATTACGGGCTACAATTATAAACTTACCAACCAACTTACCAACCTGTTGTTTTCTGGTGGGAAAAGTCATAAAAACTCCCCCAAGAAAAGAATTGCAATGTGTAAAAAAAAAACGAAAATAAAAGAAGAGAGGTATACCATTCTCGGCCTTTTGGCTAAGTTCAAGAGTACTAAGAATCTGTTCTGATCAGTTTAATATCTGATCCGTGGTCCATCGGGCCACCTGATATTAAATTAATATTTTAGGGCTACGGAGGGGTCATAGGGGTAGGCTTGCCTACTCGACCCTTCCAGCGTTGCCCTCGTATTGCACTGCAGCGGAGCGTGGCGCCCTCGATTTATGCGTGTCATCCTTGCGCAGGGGCCATGCTAATCTTCTTTCTCTATATCGTTCCAATTTTGACGGATGTTCCGAAGGACAGCGTGGCGCCCTCCATTTCACCCCGGGGGAACAAAAAAACAAAACAAAAAAAAAACAAGTAAGCGAGTACGGACGTCTGATTTTTTTTTTTTTTTTTTAATTATTATTGTTCCCCCTGGGGGGAATGGAGAGCGTGGCGCCCTCCATTCCCCCCCGGGGGAACAAGGGAAAAAAAAAAAAAAAAAAAAAAAAAATCAGACGTCCGTACTCGCTTACTTGTCATCCACGTTGACCACAAGGAGACCGCATGGTCGCGATCCGGATAATAGCAGCCTCCCCAGTGAATCCCCACCTGAGTGAATTCGTGACTCTAAACGTCCAACCAGCTCCCAGACGTCAAACCTTGCACACACACACACACACACACAGACACACACACGCACACACACGTCTGTCTGTGTTTGTAAGACTGCGTGTGAGTGTGCGTGTGTGACTCTGTCTGTATGTGTGTGTTGTCATTTTCACCGTGTCTGTATGTGTGTGTGTTGTCATATTTACTCTGTGTGTATGTGTGTTTGTTCGTGTGTGTGTTCTCATATTCGCTATACACAACTCCACAAAATAACGACTCATCAGGAGATTCAACCGGCCCAATCTGCCCAGTATCCATTTGAGTGCCGAAGTGCCGCAGGCCCCAAGAACACTTTTCGTGTCTTTTTCCCACCCCGGCTGGACACTGGACAGGTAACGCCCTCTGTGCAAATATGGTTGGAAAGTGTTTTCAGGACAAAGGTAATTTTGGGGTCTGCGAAACTTTTTGCGCCCTTCGGGGGGAAATGAATACAAAGGTCTCGTCGCGGGGAGGTTTTATTACTTTTCCCATGAGAGAGAGAGAGAGAGAGAGAGAGAGAGAGAAAGAGAGAGAGAGAGGGAGGGAGGGAGGTGGAGGTGGTAAGTCCTTATCCATCATTCAAATGGATACGGGGCAGACTGTCGCGGTTAAACCTCCTGATGAGTCTGTGAAAATCCGACGAAAAGGTGTGGCAAAGTCGTGCTTTTTTTGTGGAATTGTGTATAGCGAACATGAGAACACACACGAGCCCACACAAATACACAGAGTGAAAATGACAACACACTCGCACAGGCGTGCGCGTGTGCGCGTGTGTGTGTGTGTGTCTGTGTGGGTGTCTGTGTGTGTGCATGTGTGAGAGAGAGTGAGAGAGACAGGGAGAGAGATAGAGGGAGGGGGGGGGGGGGGGGGGGGGGGGGGGGGGGGGGGAGAGAGTGCCCGCTTGTTTCCGGCCGTTCCCCCCCCGTCGCTGGCCATTCCCGACTCCCGAGTGAGCGACAGGCGGGATCCGCCGGAAGCGGCGGCGACGGGCGGGAACTGGCAGGAGCGGGGGGACACCCTCTCCCTCTGTGTCACAACTCGATGTGGTGTGTGTGTGTGTGTGTGTGTGTGAGAGAGAGAGAGAGAGAGAGAGAGAGAGAGAGAGAGGGAGGAGGTATTCCACAGTTATCCCGGCAAACGGGGATCTGAACAGAGCAAGTAAACGGATCCAATTCGGAGTTCCAAACAGCAAACGGCGATCTTAACGGCAAGTGGCCCTCTAAGCTTACGTACAAGATTAAACAAGGGGGACCTCTAAACTGCGAACGGGGTCGTGTAAGAAAAACATAAGAGAGAAC